CACAAAGAGACACAAAACCACCAGAAACAGACACAAAACAACACAAAGAGACACAAAACCACCAGAAACAGACACAAAACAACACAAAGAGACACAAAACCTCCTGTCTGTCCTGTTGATCCACTGCAGAGGACAAAATACCATCTTTAAAGCACAAAAACATCCTTTCATCCTGCACACACACACACACACACACACACACACACACACACACACACACACAAACACAAACACTCCATTCGTTTTAAAAGCTCGATTTATTTTCTCTCTTTCTATTCCGAGTGTGTGAATAAAAAACATCCATTTGTCCGATTGCTCTCACACACACACACACACACACACACACACACACACACACACAGTGTAAAGTTTAACCCTGACCTGAAAATGGAAAAATAATGAAATATATAAATAAATAGAAAAAAGGCTTTTAAACTGAAAAGTAAGACATCAGTGAGTGTGTGTATGTGAGTGTGTGTGAGTGTGTGTGTGTGTGCGTGTGTGTGTGTATATGTGTGTGTGTGTGTGTGTGTGTGTGAGGTTAGCGTGGATGACGGTGAAAGCGCCCTGAGGCGAAGCGCTGCCCTCCTCCCCCTCATGTCTCCCGTGGTTCAGTCAGACTGAAAACCTGCAGCGAGTCTCTGAGTCAGACCTGAACACACATTGTCTCTGCTGAGGACACAGAGACATGTCCCTCTGTCTCTGTGTCCTCAGCAGAGACATGTCCCTCTGTCTCTGTCTCCTCAGCAGAGACAGAGGGACATGTCTCTGCTGAGGAGACAGAGACACGTCCCTCCTGTCTCTGCTGAGGACACAAAGACATGTCTCTCTGTCTGTCTTTTTTCTTTGACAGAAATTTTTATTTTGAATGAAAAATGTTGAAAGGTAAAATGATAAAAAATCTAAATGTCTCCTCAGTCGTGTTTTTCATCTTGTTAAACGGCGTTTTCTCTGTTTGTGTCCTTCAGAGCAGAGCCGACCTCTGACCTCTGCCCCCCCCCCCCCCCCCCCCCACACACACACACACACACACACACACACACACACACCAACAAAAAGATGAGTGAACGGAGCGGGAGGTAAAAATACTGTAGCCACACAGCTTTTATATGTTTTCATATCTGATTTCAATAGAGAGGCAGACTCCTTGTGTGTGTGTGTGTGTGTGTGTGTGTGTGTGTGTCATGACATCATCAGCGAGGTATCAGGGGTTGATTGATTTAGCAACACTTAATGTGAACACACACACAGATGCATGTCAAGGCTAATCTATGCTAATCTAATGAGCGACAGGACAATGACAATGCTGTTAGCGGTAATGGATGTCAGAGTGTGTGTGTGTGTGTGTGTGTGTGTATCTCTCCTTGTAACGATCATTTGATCAGACAGGTTTATTACAGCCGGCTAATTCTATTAACCCTGCTCCACTGCGCGCGAGCACACACACACACACACACACACACACACACACACACACACACACACAGTTGTAAATCTTTCAGCTGCTTCAGGAACATAACCCTGACTGTGCCTCTGCCGTCCACATACTTTTGGCCTTTAATTCAGTTTATGTTTCTGATTTTTTTAAAAAAGACTTGAACTTCCTGAACGCTGTCAGGCTGACAACACACCAAACGATTTCAGAGAACGCTGAATGCTCGTCACTTCACGTCGCCTTGTCTCGGTCAAAAATTTGCACATGAATGCACCACAGAGCGTACGGCCGGCGGCCAACCAGCACGCATGTTCTGCGCCTGTGCGAGAGGAAATAACTCTCCACACCAACAGAGGGCCGTCGTCTGTATTCATCATTCAAGTGGTCACAGCTACCACCAGCGCCAGGCATGAAAACCTCAACGTGGTGAGAAGAAGTCGGCAGGACAGTTTACAGATGGGTGATTTCATCATTCTGGTGATGACTCTCAGCCACACCCACCACCGTCCAACACCAACCAAACAAAGACCCACCAACAATGGCAAAATAAACACAAGAGTCTAAATTCAGCTCAAATTTAGCACGAATTTAAGACAGATTTAGCAGAGCTGCTGCAGAGCTGACTGGAAGCGTTCACACCTAAATCATCCTAAACTCAGCTTTCAGAAAATTTGCCCGTACGATGTTTTGTGTTCGTTGTGTTCATCCTGCAGGGTCTGATATGAACTAATGAAGCTGGTGAGTTAATTTATTTCATGTGAATCTCCTTATCTCCTGATATCTGACTGGAGCTAGGAGTACACACACACACACACACACACACACACACACACACAAAGTGACCTGCGGAGGAGTGTGGGAGTACTTCCTGTCTCCCTGAGGAGGCGTCGGTTGGAGATACCTGGAGGTAAAACAGGTTTCTCTCTTCCATCTGTCCTTATTGATCAAAAACAGCAGTTTCAATAGTTTTATTTTTACTTTCACATCAGAGTTTGAAACAGGAAACAGTAAACGTCCACTCAGTGTCCGACCAATCAGGACGAGGAGCCTGGAGGCATGCTGGCGTCGAGTCAAGTCAAACAGATACAGAAGGAGACGCAAACTGAACTGGCTACGACTCATAACAGACCAACACAGCTGGAAAAGGTACATTTACTCAAATACTCCACATGAGTACAAATTCAAGGTACTCCCATCCAATATTTCCATTTTCTGCTCCTGGTCCTCCTGGTCCTCCTCCTGCTCCTCCTTAATAAATCCTGTACTTTTTACTGCACTACATCTGTTTCTTCCTGTCCAGTGAAAACCATGTATCTCCAGGTGTGCTGATGTCTGATGTTTGTGATAAACTGATTCACTGGACCACAGATGATTTGTTATTAGCTCAGACCTGAACTGGACATGTGAAGGTTTGTCATCTGGGTCTTGCTGTTTGAAATTGTGACAAAGACCACATGTTCTCCAGACAAACAGCCATTTTGGCACATGTGTGTCTGTGATGTCACCAAGCCAACTTAAGGAGAAACTTCAATTCAATTCAATTCAATTTTATTTATAAAGCCCAATATCACAAATCACAATTTGCCTCACAGGGTTTTACAGC